GAAGAGGACTTGGTGAATTTTTCTTTTGAAGAAAATTTCCTAATTAGGAAATGTGATGATGGACGGGAAAGAGTTTTTTTTAAACTATATTATAATATAATATTATCTAAATATAATTTATATAATATTTAGACCTGTGGGTCTATAGCATAGTGGTTAGTGCTTCACAGGTCAGATCACAAGATAATGGTTCAAATCCTCCAGAGGGCTAACGTGGAAACCTCAAACCAAAAGAAATAGATTGGCATTTTCTGATTGCCATCACAAGATACCAAGTTCAGTTCCAGGTGAAGGTAACCAGACTGTCTCAAGATGATATCTGGCGCCATAACCTAACATGCGCTGTTTCCTATAAGAAGCCAATTCATATATTAATTCAACAGGCGTTAGGATTGTGATACCAAGAAAAGGCGTAGCAGTGTAATAATCGTCTGGCAGTGTTACGATGATCGTTGTCAAGTTAGGTGCTTTCCTTGTTTCTTATGCATAGAGCATGCTTCCTTACCCCTTTAGTCTATGAGACTATAAAAAAAACAACCTGATTTTTTAAGAAGACCAAGCTAGAGTTATAAAAACTTCTTGTTGGATATAGCTAGTCCACGGCTGATCATATTAGGATATAGTTCTTTGAGTTTCTATTTATTGGATGGTGTGTGGGACTGGAAGGTGTACATCCTGGCATATTAGTACTCTACCTATACTATCAGGACCTTGGTGTTAATAATATAGGAAGAATGGAGGCAATAAGCCGACCGGTAGGTAAGTCATAAGAACTTTCTCTAGGTAGTTTCATTAGGTAGATAGGTAGTAGTCAATTCCCATAAAGGGAAAAATACATGTATTGTAAATTCATACCTAATAAAACAAGGTATACGCCAGTCATCGAAAAAAAAAAATTTTATATAATATTTCAAAATATTCTACTGAATTATATTTAGTATAAATTATAAATAATAATAAATAATAATTTTGGATTTTTTTTAATAGAATCAAGTCAATATTGAATTTATTATAGGCTTTAATATAATATATTATAATTTATATATTAAATTTATTATAAATTAATATTATTTGATATTAGTTTGAAACTTTAAATATAAAATATAATAATAAATAATGAATATTAATAAATATATAAAATATAAAATATTTGATTTTTATTATTTAAATAAAATAAACAAGAAATTAATTAATAAATATTATGTTTTAATATTATTAATTAATAATATACAGTATGTTTTAATAATAGATAATCATTATAGAAATGTAATATAAGCATTTTTTACTATATAATTTTTGCAAATAAAAACTTTTTCAATAACTATACATTTGACATGAATTTAGATTATATTTAAATGGTTTAAAATTAGCAATCAATTTTTTATTCTTTAAATATTTTGCCTAATATGCAAAACTATTTACTTGATATAACTTTTGCATATTATATATAATTTATAGGTATTAAGTTAAAATCAAATTAAATGGATTTTAATATAATCATATTTGAATATAAATTACTCAAATAAAAATTATGCATTGATATTTTTTATCCAATAATAATAATAATAATAATAATAATAATATATTTTATGTGATATATTTTAATTTAATTGAAATTAATAGATTTTTATCTTCAAACTTATAATTTATTTTCTAGTTTGTTGGTAATTTGAAAATTAATTTTAATATAGTATTAGTCTAGTAAAAGTCATGAAATATAATTATAATTGCTATATTGTATACTCTGGAGAACTATAAGAAAAAATATAGTTATAGAAGTTTAAATAACTTATTTGATAGTTTATTTTAGTCCTGATAGCTTATTTTCTTTAATTGTTTTTTTAATATCATTGATATAAATAACTATATTATTGTAACAATAATTTAAAAACCATACCTAAAAAAAGAAGTGATTAATAAAATTGAAATGTCATAAAAATATTTAATTAATAAACTTACCTTTTTGAACATATGCCATTTAGGAAATGATAATCACCACTATAAAAAAATGTAGTCCAAGAAAGGAGTCAGTGCTAGAAAGGAAGAGAAACCCTGTTACTAAGAAAGTTCCTTGGCCAAATCAATTCCACATGCCTTACTTATCTTTAGTTATGCAAACTTAGGATTGGTGAAGCAACTGACTTGCTGTTTTCTGGCTCAACAATAGTAATATTATTTGTATTTAGTAATATATGCAATAAATATTGTTTTCATTTCGGACAAAGATTAAGAAAAATATTTTTTTTTCTCTTGAAAAAGAATTGAGTTCGAATTTGAAGTGGTATAATTATAGCTACTGGCAATTTTGAGAAAATCATCCAATGTAAAACAGGCATATGAATCTAGTAAAAAAATATTGAGAATATTATTAGATCAAATAATTTGATTTTGTTGAAGAGTATTTCTTGACACTTTGTTTAAAATCTATAGAGTATCCAGAACCAGCCAGACCAAGGTCTCCACAAAAAGAGTAAAGTTAGCAATTATGCGATGATAAGACTTCTAAATAAGTTAATGATCGACCAATCCCGAATTATTATACAGTACTATCAAAGGAATTACAGTATACAGTATCGGTTCAAACCAATGTTGTTAAACGGCTTGTCATTTATCACATCGTATACTGTAGTAACTTATATAAAAGGACATTACTTTTTACTTGATACAGATAGTAGTATTGTATTTATGATATTGTCGTTTTTTAACAATGGTTACAATGGGTTCATTAATTTTGGTTTGAATGACAAAATGAAAAAGTAGTTTGGGAATTCGTACGAGTCTAATTACAGTATATATTAAATTATTTCGCGCAGCCTTTAAAAACGCGACATGCAAACATTTATTATTATTGAGTCACTTTAAGAGGAAACAAAGAATTTCCATTCGTACTCGCAATTTATCCTATAAAAGTTAATCACTTGAAATTTGGTGAATCAATTTCATTCATTCTAAATGAGGTCCGAACGCCATTTTACCGAGTCAGTCTATTTTGATAGCATATTTTAAATGCCATAAAATAAGGTAAAAGTAAAATAAAGATACTTTCTTATCATTATTCTCGACATCTATTTGAAATAAATGGAAGAAGTTATTAAATCAAGATACATAACTATAATAACATGCCCAGGCTGTCAGAAGACGACGAGGAAAGGAAATGAATTTGGAGAGAAAAAATTATGTGGATTTTGTTATTTTGGAGAGTCTTTTCTTTGAAAAAGTGGCAACCAGGATATTGACAATTTTATAAGAAAATTTGCGGAATGGAAAAAGTATCCGTTCTTGGAATTTATACCGTACGAGGAGTTTTCAAGTGTTGAAAATATTGGGCGTGGCGAATTTAGTCAAGTTTATAGGGCAACATGGAATAAAGGGCGCCTTCGCTCCTGGAATAAAAATAACGGAGATTTCGCTCGATTTCCACCGGAAACAGTAGCATTAAAGGTTCTCGATAATTCTCGGGGAATGAACTCTGAATTTTTAAAAGAGGTATTTAACATTCGAACCTTGCTTATAATTATCTATTTATTTACTAATATTTTTGTAGCAACAATTCTTAAATTGAACTAGTAATAAAAAAAGACAGAGAAAACGTTTTATTGATGTTTACGGAATTTCACAAGATCCCGTGTCTAAAAATTATATTTTTGTCACATGTTATGCGAATAATGGCGATTTAAAGAAATATTTACAAACTTATTTTAGTAAAATAACTTGGTCGGATAAGGGAGACCTTTTGAAAAATATTGTGGAGGCTTTAAATTTGATGAAAAAGGCGAATTATATTCATCGGAGTTTACATAGTGGCAATATATTACTAAATTTAGCATACCCGTTAATCGATGATATAGAATTTTCGATAAATGAAAAGTCGAGTATTTATGGAGTCATACCTTACGTTGCGCCCGAAATATTAAAGAATGTATTTCTTTCGATTCAATGCAATATACAGTATATAGTCTAGGAATCATTATGTGGGAACTTACGTCTGGAAATCAACCGTTCCAGGATAGAGAATACGATGAAAATCTTATTGTAGACATATGCGACGGACTAAGGCCGGAAATTACCAGAGATACGCCCGAATGTTGGGCAAGTTTAATGCGCAGATGTTGGGATTCAGAACCTTCAAATCGACCTGAAATAGAAAAAATCGTGAGAATAATGGAAGAATGGAAGAGCGATTATTATTATCTACAGTTTAAAGAAGCCGAAGAAGAACGCCAGAAAATAATCAAAGATGGTGCTCCATCTAGGAAAAATTGTTATCCGAGTTCAATACATTATAGTAAGTTGTTGGAATTACAATAGTTGCAGTATAGAGTCATCAATATTACATAATACTAACATTGACCTATTCGTTTACCATATATCGTTGATTTAGAAATTGATACAACACTATTTGATTCGCCCGGGGTTGAAAAAATACCCAAGAATCAAACTAAAGTGGGTTCGGAATGTCAACATGAGAGTGAATTGGAGAATTCAGTACAAAGAAAGATTATTTCTAAATGGATACCATACGAGGAATTTTTAGATGTAGAAAAAATTGGTCAGGGTAGATCGAGTCAGATTTATAAAGCGATCAGACATAAGAAAAGAAAAAATATGATGATAAAGGAAAAAGAAGTAACACTGAGGATCCTCGATGAATCTCGAAATCTGGATTCCGAATTTTTAAAAGAGGTACAGTAAATCATCATTCAGATTCTTGATACAGTACTACTGTACATACAGTATCATATACAGTGCCCCCCAATAAATGAAGGATCACTTAAGAATTATTAAAATTAATCGGAAATAGTCTCTATATATCAAACTTTTTATTTTATTAACAAAAGCATATTT